TGATGATGATGATGATGATCATGATGATGATGGTTATAGTGATGATGATGATGATTATTTATGGTGACGACGATGATGCTCTAATGTTGGAAATAATGTGCATATTTAGTCTAAGTGTAAAGTGTGTTTCATTTTTGTTTTGCTTTGTTGTTTAGTGCTTACTCTAGATCCTCGTCAGGCTGTCCTGTGGGCAGGACACAACCCTCATTCTGAATTCCTCGCATAGAGTGACCTAAAGTTTGGAAATGATTCGGCATCTTCATCCCTAGCATTTAATAAGAGTATATCGAAAAATCACACTTTCTTAAAGTGATACCAGAAAATTCACCAATAGTATATCAATAAAATGTATACACACACACCCACGCACACACACACACACACACACACACACAAAGCAACACACAGGTACAGGAGGACCAGAAGCGAAATTGCGTCCAGCGGCAACTCAGACACCACGGGCAATAAAAGTCCCCGTCTCCAAAGAGAGAGTACATTTATATGCCACAATCAATGAAATGGAAAGACAGACCAGTAAGATCTAGTATTATTAAGTGCAGAAATGTAATATCAAATTACTTCCCTATTCTATCCCATGTGATGACACGCGACCGCGAATGGCACCATTAAGTCTGACTGAGAGTATAATGAAGGCAAAGAGAGGTTAAAAAGTAAAATTAAATAATTAAATTACGTCAACACACCCGAACACACGTTCAACACACACACACACACACACACACACACACACACACACACACACACACACATAGCTGCATGTACATGTATAACAATCTTCCACTTAAGCTCGCTCTCATGCGGAGACGAAACAAAAGTGGCATGAGATGGAGACTGGAAGCCTTACCTTTAGCTCTTAGCCTACAATTGCCTGAGACTACTTTCACTTTCATAAACTTCTATGATATTTCTTACTTTCCCAAACTTATACATTGTAGACACAGATAATTTTCGGATTGCAATAGATCTAGCTGCATTCGTTAACCCCCATTCCCGGTGATCTACGTCGATTCCTTTCACTGCCCCAAGTAAAACAATTTTGTCATTAATTACAATTTCTACCTCAGGGAAGTTGAAAAAAGAGGGAGGGATTGGGATTGAGATAATGAGACAATAAATTTGCGATGCTCAAGGATAGATAACACGGCTAAAACAGCACCTGGACATGCATGGATGGTGCCTCTATAAATGAATTATTGTTGATAGTCAAGGGTGGATGGAGGGGGACTGTCTTCAGGGAGTCCAGCTGTCTGTCTGTCTGTCTCCTCC